CTAGTTTTGATTAACTGTTCGAAACTGCTCTTTTCTCTGTGGACTGACACCCCCTCCGGGGGGAAATCAGTCTTGTGCTTTCAGTACTGCCTCTGCCCTCTGCTCCTGGGCTGGCGGTGACTCTCGGCAGGAGAAGTGGCTTTCTGGTAATGGATGGATGTCTAATGCAGCCTGTGAAAGCTTTAAAGAGTCACGTGCAGCCACAGGTTGATGGACTAGTTTCCTGCCTGTCCCAACCTGCAGATATGTGATAGCATAGACACATGATATAGGGTGTCATTGTTGAGATGATGCATCTTTTTTGCCAATCCAGATTTATTTAGAATTTAGGCATAATTGGTATGACCGTGTTCCAACCTGCTAGAAAAGTTGTTAGTGGAGCAGGAAAATCCAGTTATGGGTCTTCACAAAGAATAGGTCAGTTATTTTGGTGTTTGGCGTATAGTAGCGTTCAATGAAAGAGCATATCAGCATGAAAATGCTTCTGGCTTTCATGTATTAGGTGGCTCGTGTTCCATCACTAAGTAGGAAATAATTTAGCAAAAGTTGTCGTACAGTGTGTTTAGTACTCCTGTATTGAACTGAGGAATTTAATACCAGGTTGTAGGAGTCTGGAACGTTTTTATTTGAAGAGTTTATGCAGCTAGTTAATGCTTCATTGACCTCTTACGATATTTCGAAAACTGCTGCTTTCAATGTATAACATTGTAGGGCCACATTAGCTTCTACTGACCTTTTTGTATTCATGTTCTGTTCTCAGGCTGACTATAAACTGACCATCAAATTTGAGTTTTTATTGGCTGTTTTTTTTAACTGTTATGCACCTGTGCATATGGAAGTCCCTTCAAAGAGCAGCATACCTGAGAGGTCTTTAAAGTTTGGAATTTACTATATGAAAAGAATAAGTGGGTTTATAAGCAGATGTGTTTTATAGTATAATCTCATTTTAGATTAGATTTTAAGTGAGGAGAAATGCAGTTCTGTTAAACAGCATAATGTGTGTGCAATTTTGTACTTCTAAATATAGAAGTAAATTGCATGCCCGGTTTACTGTAGACTTTTTTTTACTAACAGTGCAGTTGTTCCCATGCTACATAAAGCTGAAAGAGCTCCACTAGAGCTTGTGTTGTCCTTTCTGTCCTTCCTTCCAGACAGAAATGTGGCCTCAGCGAGCAAAAATGTAAGGAAGCAGTTGGTGATTCCAAGTTGGGTATAAAATGTTAATGTTCAAAAACAGAAAAGTAAATGATTGTGTGATTGAATTTACTTTGTGTCACTGGTACCATGTGAAGATGATGTACAGTATATATTGAATTGCCAGTTTTTCATTATTTATCATCTGGGTGGAGAATGAGGTGTAGACGAGCTTGTCCAGCATGCCGTTCTTCGAGCCACAGCCCAATGCAGGAGTGTCGGACCCGAGAGGAAGAGGAGGAGGAGCTCCTCCCACTCGTAACGCATGCACCCTGCAGGTCATAGGGGGCGCTGTGTTGCCGAAAAGGCCCGGGACGAGAAAGCCGTCCCACCCCTGGTGACGCCCGGTCAATAGCGGACCTTATGACTAAGACTCAAACCTGCGTTATTAGTTAAGATCTTTTTGAGAATTAAAAAAGGCTTAGTCCCAGATATAAGTTCTGAAGAGCTACTTCAAAAAGAATTGTTGAAGAAGAGAATTCCATACAGGAATTCCTGTGGTTGTTGCTTGAACACAAACAAAATCTGAGGAAAAAGACATGAGACGGAAAGCTCCAGCTAACTGGCGAACCCAGTCACGATGTGTTTTTTTGCGTTGACACTGAGACCAGATGCTTGTGGTGTGTGAAGAGCCCTGGGACAAAGTACTGTGACTTACAGGCTGTGCAAACAGAAGTGGTGCCATTGCCATAACTCATCAACACGCAGGTCTTTCAGCAGACCTTTAGTTCCCTGGTTGGAATACTAGCATGGCTGCTCCGTTGTTATTTTAAAACTGAGTTTCATTTTTTCCTGTTTTTATTTTTGAAGGAGGATGAAAACCTGACTTTTACTTTCATGACCTTATTAATAATCTGAGCTGTTGTTGAACATCTGAAACTGACACTGGCCAGTGTGAACAGTGGAGGCTTTGCTTTCTGAACATTTCCCTCTTCAACCTGGATACCAGAAGCTTTGAAGCGTGTTAGATTTCTGATAGAATTGGGCAGTTTATTCCCCATTTGTTTTTATTGCCAAACTCAAGTAGCATTTTTTGATATTTCGCAAGCTGTTGCCTCAGTCCTACCGCTGACGTTGCAGTCAGTGGATTGTTTGTGTGTGTGCTGGACTCTAAAACCGGTGCCGTTAACAGTTTGCAAGTATATGTCTCCAATCCCAGCAGATCCGATTTCACTGTGTAATGAAATGTTGCGACTTTACCACAAAATGACTATCCTGTGCGGCGTGTTCCAAGAACTGCTGGTGTATGATTCCTTTTGTTATTGTAAGGTCAACCTGGTCGCTTTGTCTGCCCTCTCATTCATCTCGGTCTCTCTGCGTTTTGCTGATTCTAACTGGTTGTTTGATGAAAGTAGTAACCTTTGGATGACTCTGTTGGCTTTTCTGGTGGTCGGAGAGGCTCAGCCAGAACAGGCCATCATTATGCTGCGCAGTTGCTTGTAATCCTTGGTAACTGTAAGAGTTGTGTGTGTGGGTGTGCATAATCAGAATGCAATCTCAAAACAAAGGCAGTCTGCCTGGCTGTGTTTGAGAGTGATCAAAAAGCTCGTGATTGCGCTGCCACCACTCTCAATTCTTTTCGTTTGCACTTCCCAGTTATGTGCACTGAAGTGCAAACAACATTCAAATTTGCGTGTTGTTTTTGTGCATATCCCATGCCTTTTTCCCGGTACTTGACTTTTACAGTGGGTAACTCACTTTCATATTTGTTCAAATAATCCTGCTGTCTGCACAGTGCAAGTGATGTCAACCAGTTGTCCCAGGGACAAGGGTCTGGGTTGCACCGAGAGGCAGAAGGGAGGCTTCTACTGTGCCTAGAGTCCCACAGGTAAAGAACCAAGTAATCAAGCCCCACTCACTCTTGTCCTTCTAATGGTATCAGAAATAAAAATTGGATTCATAATCATTCTCAACCTTTCAATAGATGCAACAGAAAATTGATGGACCTTCCCCATTAGTGGCTTCCAAGTGATTTGTTTAGCTATTTTATGATGTTCAGCTTATCGCAAAGATAGATGAAAGCATAAGTGGTCTCTTGCTTGCAGGTTATCTAACCACCATATTTATTTTTCTTAATGTTTGTAGACATTTTTAGGCTTCTGTCTCCTGTACAATGTTGCTTTCAGTGCCATAGTAGCGTAAAATCTAAAATGTCTACTGTAATGAAAAAAAACCCTGCGATAACAGGTGAATTTCTCCTTTTTCATGAAGCACATGGTCATCTGAACAGTGCCGAGCAACAGTTTGTTAACCTCTTAGGATTTTATATGTCCTGTTTGAAACCTGAAATGTTATCCTCTCTTTATTTATCCCCTATAAATAATGACCTGCTTTTAAAAAAAATACATAAAACATGGTACTCTTTCCACATTTATTTATCCTCAAATAATGCAACATTCAATATTCACGTGTGACAATATGTGACCTCTCAGATTCAGTAACTGTCAACAACCCCTCAGCAGCAATGACGGCAACTAAATATCTTCTGTAAAACAGTTATGTATAAAAGTCTCTCACTTCAGTTTTGAGGAATTTTGGCTTCCGATTCTGAACTCTGTCAGCGCTGTGACATTTGAGGACAGCCTTGCTTGGACACGTCACTTCAGGTTCAACCACAACATTGTAATGGAGTTTACATCCATCCTTTGACTAGGCCATTGTAAAATGCAGCTTTTCATCATCTGTGGCCATTCTTTTGTTGTCATCAGTTTGTATGTTTAGGATTGTTATCTTGCTGCAAAACACACTTTTGGTTCAGCTTCAGTTCATGGACAATTTACCTGACATTTTCCATTAGAATCTTCTGATGAATTCATTCATGGTTGTGTAAATGATAAGTCATCCAGGTATTGAGGAAGCAAAGCATCTCCAAACCATCAAACTCCCACCATACAATGTTTGATGGTTTTGATGGGGATCTTCTGTTCAAAAGCAGTGTTTGAGTTTTGTCTAAGATAATGTTTCTCCTGTGGCCACAGAGCTGACCTTTGACTTGTCTGTCCAAAAGCCTTTTGGACCATCTGTGTGCTCCTTTATGAATGTCAGATGGACAGTAAGGTTCCTTTTGGAGAGCAATAGTCTTCTCCATTTTTTTTCTATCCTTCCAGGAAAACCATTCTCCCAGTTTTCTGACAGTAGTGAACAGTTACTTTAGCCATGGCAAGACCGGCCAGTTCCTTGGAACTCAGGTGTTCTTTGTAACTTCCTTGTTTATCTTCCACTCTTCTCCTTTTCTGAGATCCTCTTAGATTTCCGTGGACCATTGCATGACTTGTTACCACACACGTGTATGCTGAAGACGAAACTTACGTCTCTGATCATTATACAGAGCAGAGCCTTCCTAGCTCAGCCCCCAAGACTTCCCAAATTGTTTAAACACCAGATGGTAATTATTGCGTTAAATAAGTTAACTAGCTAACATTTGCTTTTTCCACATCCACTGTACCTTGATCACTCATTGTTTAATTCATACATCATTGTGCTACAATAGACATAGAATTGGCTACTATAAACCCCTATCTTTGGGGTTCTCAGACTTTTTCTCAGCACTATAAGGCATATACAGTAGGCACTATAATTATTCCTGGTTGTGATTTTACAAATTTACATTCAAACTGGTAAATGTGTGGTTTATTGGTTTACCCTTTTCATCTATGTTTATGTTTATTTTAGCTCTATTTTAGTTTTTTTTACCCATCAGCTGGGTAATTAAATAAATTGCACACTGAATCTGAGTTTGGAGTTTCAGCTCCCCTTGGACCTGAAGACCATGATCTGCTATTTCTTTTTGGGTTTCTCTCCTGTAGTATGGGGCAGAATTCCGGCGGTTTTCTGTGGACCGATTCAAGCCTGGCAAATTCGAAGAGTTCTACAAGCTCATCCTTCACATCCACCGGATTACCAACATGGAGGTGATGATTGGCTACGCTGACATCCACGGGGATCTGCTGCCGATCAACAACGACGACAACTTCTGCAAAGCCGTGTCCACGGCCAACCCTCTGCTCAGAGTCTTCATACAGAGACAAGGTATGGTTTCGGTGAACGCTGGAGTGCCGGGGAGCACAGTCAGCTGCAGGTTCCCTTTAATGCAAAGCAAAAGGGAAGCCCTGGACAGCTGGCTTCCTGCAGGGAAGTCTGGAGTTTCTCATTGCCTGGCTCGCTGGAGAGCTTCAGAAAGAGAAATCGCTTCATGTGACGTGTTTTTACTACTTCTGTAGCCTCTACACAGAAGCACTCAACGAAGGGGTCGTCATTCCCATTTCCGTGTTACTTGACAGCCGTAAAACTTATCAGCCACATTATTGAGTCACACTAAGTAAAAACACAGCTCGAGAAATCCTGCCACAGCATCACCTTGCCAACAAGAGTCAGTGCACAAAAATGTTAGACAAACCCATGCAATGAATTATTCATGATTTTATTTGCAGGACTGGATGGAAGTTACACTCACCATGTAATTTTGTCTCTTTCCAAACTAGGGCAGGAACAGTCTTGCTGATCTCTGAAGTATTTATCGTTATGTTTTAGGTAAACAAGAGTGAGAAAGTGTTTTAGTATTACTGGTATGGGTTATTTACTCTTTTTAGCCATTGTCTGTTGTTTCCAGTTTAAGTACAGTGATAGAGCAGATACACCTGAAGAAAGGTTCAGAAGGAAGGAGTCCGTTCGACCCATCTAGGAAGTTGATCCCAGGATCTTATCCTGGCGTTTCTTGAAAAAAGCCATGGTATCAGTTTCAACATGGCTGAGTAGCTTGTTCCATACTCCCACAACCTTTTGTGTGGAAAAAGGGCCTCCTTTTCTCAGCTTCGAATGCACTCCCCATAGCCTCTGGTACATGTGTCACTGTTCATTCTGAATGCGTTGTCTTTGTCAGTGTGACCGTCGCGGTTCCGCACGGTCTCGTGCCCTCCCCCAGCCGTTCCGTCCCGCAGCACCTGGGGCGCGAACCCTGGTCTCCGGCGTAACACAACAGGGAACCAGCCACATGAGCTAAAGGAGACCTCCCTCAGCCCAGGCAGCTGAGGTCCCTGCTACGCGCAGTGAAGGGCGCCGACGTCACCGTATCCGAACTAGCTCCATTGTACCCTCCCCTGTTGAACTTTGCCTCGGCGAAGGACACTCCCGTCAGGGTCACGGCACCAATGTGACTGTCGCGGTTCCGCCACCCGTTCTGTCCTGCAGCACCTGGGGCGCGAACCCGGGTCTCCGGCGTAACACAACAGGGAACCAGCCACATGAGCTAAAGGAGACCTCCCTCAGCCCAGGCAGCTGAGGTCCCTGCTACGCGCAGTGAGGGCGCCGACGTCACCATATCTGAACTAGCTCCACTACACCAGCATGTCTGAGGATTTAATCATTTGGATCAGGTCCCTTCATAGTCATCTTTATTCCAGAGTAAAGAAATGTTGTTCCTTCAACCTGTGAGGATAGCAGATTACCCTAAGCCCCAGAATGAATCTAGTTGCTCTTTTCTGGTTGGATTCCAGACCAGCAGTATCTTTTCTTTTAATCCAAATTGAGCACAATGAGGTCTTACGTATAAGTTGTACGGTTGTAACACTATATCTTTTTTGGGGGAGGAGGTGCTCCGCTCATTATTCAGTTTGGCAGTTTTCACACGAGTGGAGGAAGCTCGGTATCGGGCCAAAGGGGTGCTGGGAAGCTTGTGAAGAGCTCGGGTAACACCAGGACTCAAATGAACGGCTTCTGCTCAGACTGTAGGTTCTCAGTGTCTCAGCATGAGACTAGAATGCAAGTGACAGAGTACATGGGCGATGGGAAGAAAAGAGCTCACAGCAGATGATTTTACTTGTGGGCCCTGTGGTTAATAAGAATAAAATAGTTTTTCTGAGGCCAGTTTTGTTAGAACTATTTAAAACATCCCATTGAACCATCAGTGCCTTTTGAAAAGTATTTACATTAGAAGGGTGGGAAATGTTGGAATTTAAATCTAATCAACAGGACATTTTCCTTTTTCAAACGCGTTGCTGGCTTTAGATGTAAGAAATAGTGCTTTTCTTCAGTTCCGTTTGCAGTGCAGTTCCTAAACAATTGTTGCTCTGCAAGTTCAGTGTTGGATAAAAGTCCCTTTTGAGATATTTACACTGAGGGACAGTCTTTAAATAGGTAATTGGCTATATTTATATGTGGCAAAAGACAGATGTTTTCTTAAGAATAAGGGCTGACTTTGCACAGTGATTCTGGTCTTACTGCTGAAGTAGCTGTTTTTTTATTTAATCTATTTAACCAAACAAGTCAACTGAGAACAGATTCTCATTTACAATGCTAGTTTGGCATGTACTGATTTGTCCAGCACAGCCTACTGGAGCTATCTGAGAGAAGTGCCTTGCTCAAGGGCACAACAGCTGTGTCCCACTAGGGATTTGAACCCAAAGACCTCTCTCATGTTTTAGTATTTCACCTCCATTACACTTCTCATAATCCTATCTGAGACCTGTTAAGAACTGCTTTTATGTCAAGCAGGTACAGTACTATGCATCCTTGTGTGAGATTCTCTCCTTTCCCATATAAGCTTGTGCTGATCCCTGACCCTATTACTCACGGCTCCTGTTCCTCAGAAACTCATCACATCATTGTCAGGGCTGAACAGTACAGCGGCCTGCAGGAATCGACTTCAGCCTCAGGAATTCAGTGTCTTAAGTCAATAAAAGTTTCAGATGATTGTCTGGCTCTCTGAGTCTCTGCTGGTCTTCACTGTGTTTTTGTGTCTAGGCTGGATCAGACAGTGAGTCAGTGCTGCAGTAGGGCATTGAAATGCAAATGTATCTTCCAGCATTTAGGCTGAGTAAATACAGTTCCTCTTTTCTAAAGTTAAATTGGTACAGGTAAAACAAACATATATCTGTCAGGTTTATGCATCATTAAGGAAGAAGTGATGAAAAGCCTAAAACAACTTGATCGCCCCTGAAATAAAAAATAGTTGTTTTCATACATATTTTATGCGTTTTCCTGCCCAGCCTGAGTGAGACATTATTATTATAGTGTTTTGTTAATAGACTTGCTCTGAAATCATACTTGGTTGTATGCTTCTGGAGTCACTATTACTCCAGTTACTACTGTTGCAAGTTAAATAGAATTGTGTGTTATGTGTTGTAGTGTGTGTGCTTGTAGGGTCTCTGGTTGTGTATTAAAAAGACCTTTTATGTACATGGGTCCTTGCTCCTGATCCCTTTTTTGATAAATAATACTGTACTTCCAAATTTCCAGTTAATGCCTGAACCATAGCCCATGGAAGAAGCGGAAGGCTGCCTGCTGAGTCCAGAGTTCCTGCCATTTAACTCAGTCCTGACACTAAATTCTACCCATGTACCTTACTATAGAAATAGGGGGAAAAAATGTCTCTTGCACACGGTAAATAATCAAAAAAGGAAGCAGATTAAAGCATCTCAGCCTCTATAATAAAGAAGCTTGTCTGGTCCTCATTACACTACATGTTTCTCTTGTTCTGACAGTCGCCAGATTGAATTTTCAGAAGTCAGTCCTGTTTATCCAGGTGTGGTACATACGACTTGTGGTGTACATATTCTCGCCAAGCTGGGATATTCATAGTGCGTGTCCAGTGGACAGCAGGTGATGACTTGGCAGTCTTCTCTTCAGCAGAAAATGTGGGGGGTCTCTTGTCTTTTAAGTGTGGTTTCTGAACAATAACGCTGTTTTGCAAGCATGTTCCAGAGCCGCTCTCAGACTAAACTTTAAACAAATGTGGAAAAGGGAAATCTGGGTTGCCAACTGAAGTTAAATAAATACTGGGAAGGCAAAAAAATAAACTCTTGCATCCAAGGCCGTTCCTGAACAGTTGCCGTAATTATAGCTCACCATTTGATGATGGTTGAAACGAAACATTTCTGCCGTGCTCACGATTCTTAAATGCGTTCAATGTGTCAGTTCAGTTTTTAGAGCAATTAAAATAATTGCGCACAAAGCTATAATTTGGTTGTGTACTGAAATGGCAAATAGTGTCATTTTTATCACTTTACCACCAACATTTATTGAGAGCCTCTGTGACTCTCCTAATATTCATTTATTTACCAAGCAAGTCGAATAAAATGGCAGTTTGGAGACCCATTAATACAGTGTTGGGTTTAGTGACACAATCTGAGTATAGTACTTTGCTTGAGGGGACAACAGCTGCGTCCCAGCCAGGATGTGACCTGACAATCGTCCGATCTTGAATCCAGGGCACTGATCGCTGTACCAGCGATGCTAGAAATAAAAACTGGGCTCTTTGCAAAAGGTTTTTTCTGTGTCTTCTCGCTTGACAAAGCCAGAACAGGTGGGCTAGACAGATGTGAGGTCATTATTTATGGTGAGTAACCAGTCTACTGGTTCTTACTAGAATTCAGTGGGGCTTCACGGTTCATGAAGTTGATGTAGTTACTGCAGTCAGGTAATGAATGAGTATATAAAGGTAAAGAATATCTAAAGGAAGTGGCCAGCAACTGGGAGGATTTCTAGAGTACTCTTAAATCATCAATTTGTAAAGACCTGCAATATTTGTCAAAGATATAGTAACTTCACTTGGGAATGACCAGCTATAATATGTTGTAGGTAGGGGGTGTTGGTATTTTCAGTTAGAAAGGTTTCTGAACTACTTAATTGAACAAATAGCCTGCTTCAATGATCAAAATAAAACAGGCTAGGTCTTGCTCTGCCCGTGACCCATGAAATGTGCTGGATTGTGGCTCTCCAAGAACAGGTTGGCACCCCCCTTTGCACATGAAGAGTTTCAGATTTCTTAGCAGTTCAGCCTCTTGCACACTTTTCAAAGTTAGTAGTTAATTGATCTCAGAAACTCTTCTAGCCCTTTGCAGAATCTCATTATCCCTGTTTCTGAAGCAGGATCCTAAGAAACCTGCATCAGCAATATGACTGAGGAGACCCTTTGTGTTTAGCTTTCTGTTCCCAGGCCTAAGCGCTTATCCCCTTAATTTCAGTTGTTCACTAATTCTCATTTTATTCTTGATCCTGATGATGGTTGTGCTCTGATTTTGCAACTTTAATCC